CATATGCCGCAAAGCAGCATCCAGCATCTTGGCCTAGTCTGAGGCGGTTTAGGGCTTAGGGTTTCGGGGTATAATCCCCCTTAAGCAGATAGAATATGGGGTATATAGGGGATTCTGTAAGGTTATGGGTCTAGGGTTTAGGGCCCAGAGTTTAGGGATAGAATGTGGGGTATATGGGGATCTTATTATAATATACCCAAAGCCATAGTCTATCTACTGAAGGGGGACTATAGGCTGAGGCTATGAATGGCGGGCACTGCCAGCGTAGGAGTTTCCCCACAGGGTAGTTTCCATGAACAGGATCCCGGATCCTTCTTGTGGGGTTAAAAGGCCCCACATGGCATCAGCATACCATAGCTGGCAAGGAGCCGTTGCAGCCGGGTCCTTGCAATTGTGGGCCGTCCAAAAAGCCTGGAGGCAGGTAGACGAGTAGTGCACCCTTCTAAATGGCTGTTCGGCTGTACAGCTGAAGTATAGGTAAAAGTTGGACATTGTGCGGGTGATCATAAGGGGTCCACCTCGAAGGCTGTCTCAGTGGAGTTATTGAGAAACGTCCGTTGGATAAATGCTCCGTTTCCAAATGACCCGTACGCTGCCACCATACTACAAACTTGAACCCAGGCAAAAAGCCTCATCTTGCTGACTAATCTCTGCTTTTCTCGTTTTTCTGGACCACCCCCGACAACCCAACCACTTACTCATGCAATTGTGCTCCTTCGTTACGCACGAAGCCGCAAGCCCTCAACCCTACAGGCTACAGGCCCTGCACGCTAGATAGTAGTTTCCTTGTCTTTTTCCAGTTTTCCATTTGCTGCTCCATTCTTGAACCCTTGACAAAACTGCCAACCTTGGCTGCGCCATGCGGGTAGAACTTCGGATCGGTCCCGATATCCCCAGTCGTAGTTCGTTCTCCATCCCTCAGCCATACGCTTGTGGGGCGAACGGTAGATGCATGATGTAGTCATGGCCCACTTGTGCCCATCGGACATCTAGACTATTCTTTTCCACGCCGCTAAGTTCAGGTGAACTTCCTTTTTGGCTTTCAATGCAAAGGGATACACAGCCACAGCTAAGCAATGGCTAAACTTGCGCTAAGAAATCCCATCCCACTGAGCCACCCCCAAGCAATGATTGCAATGGTGCGAGCTGCAGCAACACTACACAAAGCATAGAGCCAAATCCTTCCACAGACAAGCATCTGAGGGGTCCAGCTCAGCATGTCCACAAACTCATGGTAGTCGTTATCGAACTTGCACCACTGCTTCGTCCTTAGGCTGCTTTATGGCATCCTGAATATTCAGGGCTTTAGGGTGGATTTGCAGCGGCATCTAATTCAGGCAAGGGTCCCCTTCTCCTTAGCACACAGGCAAACGACTCGTGTTCAGAGGCAACATCTGCAGCTCGCCTTGCACAAGCCAAGCCACTTCCCAGGTTGCCACATTCAGGAGATCCTGATGCACCCCAGATTCTTAGGGGCATCTTTGCGAAAGGCCTCAAACACCAGAGCCAGAAATCTCCCCTCCATATCCTTTCAGGCACCCCCTCCCCCAATCCTTTCCCCTGTAAATCCTGAAATCTCAAACTAGCTAGGCATGTCCCAAAACACTAGATCATCTAGAGCAGGACATACAAGAGACCATAGGATAATACAACCTGCTAATATACCGTTGAGTCTTTCCCTACCCAGCCCCAACTTGATAAGCCCCTATCTATCCCCGATTTCCACTTTATTCGCAATTGTCTGTCCCATGTCATGACCCACCAGCTTGGCTAGAGTAATAGAAATAAAGATAGCAGTTGCAAAAATAAAACAGCACTGGTAATAGTAGTAATAGTAGTGGTAATAGTAATAGCAACAGTAAGAATAGTAGAAAAGGAAGTAGTAATAGGCAATAGAAAGGGCAAGAGTAATCATCAAAGTAATCGTACTTGTAAAAACATGTAAAACTAGTCGTAATACTAATAATAACAAGCAGAATACTAATCGTAAAAGCAATAGTAATAAACCTAAACCTTAAACCCCAAACCCCAATCCCTAAACCCCAAACCTCACTCCCTAAACCCTAAACCTAGACCTTAAACCGTAAACCCCCTAAACCC